GTGAGCACTGGTTGACCTTCCATAGAGATCGTGAAATATCTGGAATTGTAAGAAACCATTAGCCGCGTTTATTCATGAAGACTTCAAAGGATTGACGAAGATGCGGGTAGAGGAAAGAATCCGCATCGATTCGAAGAACCGGGGAACCGGGAAAAATGCCGATGTTCCGCAGGATCTGCACCACTCCCTATCACGTCTCAGTCTGTTATTTCCGCAATCTTGCGGGTTCTGCATTTCTGCCAATTCCACGGTCCTTCAATCAGTACGTATAGTCTTTTCTATCCACCATTTCTTCGCCACGTTTGAATGCCGCCCACTCGTACCACATCAGCGCCATATTTTGTAACAAATTTCCGAAACAAAAACGAAAACTAACCGACGCTTCGTGGTAGAAAATGTGCGGATTAATCATATGAGGCATGACTTCCTTTTTCTGTCCATTTCCATCATCTCCCGTTTTCTCTTCACCACTTGTCACTTCCTCTTCAATATTCTGATCGACCACAGTTAATCCCTGACTAGCTGAGGCGGCTGCTGCGGCAGTGTTGTATAGAAGAGTATTTTCGGCATGCATTGCGATGACATTGACCACGCCTGAACAAACAAACCCTCATTCCACTATCAAGTCAGCATTCAGGGCAAAGATTTGTGTCGAAGGTAGTTGGGGGGTGCCAGGCGGGTGTGACTCGCCCTGTTATGGCTGCGCTTCTTCCTAGGCAGCAAAACGCCTCAAATGCCATCTTCAAGACTTCAGAAAGACACATCAAGACGAGACATGCAATAAAACATGAGTTGAAATGACGGCACCGCAGTTTGGCACCCCCGAGACCAAAATTCTGCTTCAGAGGCCAACGCTGTTCATCGTTGTGCCGTTATCTCCGAATCAGACTAAGGTCCCGATGACGATAAGTCCTCATCAGATTCCGATCACAACTCGCAGAGCAAGGATGATTTTCTCGTCATTAGCAGATAGCGATACGATGGAGGTCGAACCCGCGACCTCGTTAATTGAAGTCAAGCGCGCTATCCACTAGACCAAAGGTCATTGGTTACCGTAATGGCCCAAGTTGCTCACATACCATTGTCCTGGATTTCAGACTGATTATCTATAGCGACCAGATCCTTTTGCTCGAGTTGTATACCACCGCTCATATAGTCTTGATAATTTATCTAAAAGACGTCAATTCGAAAAGATGAAGGGCTTAATATAGAAAAACGAATTATGAAGTAAAACCAACTACTTTTCGATGGTTCCCCTTCTCTTTCCAGACCTTTCCGACATAATCAAACCTAAATACCATTTACTAATTCGTGATTACAATGAATTAATTTTACTATATATTTCCTACCTGGCATTATCAACTCGGGCAGGTCGGACATAACGACGACCTGTACACTTCAGTACGACATCGGCAATCACGTACAACATAAGCTCTTCTATATAAGGGAAACGGAACTTCTTTGTCGATCTAAACTAGTTGTTTTTCGCAAAGTTCAATAAGGTAACAAAATGGAACTGATTTTGGTACATATGACAAGTGTAACTACGATACTAGTACTAACTGACTGGTGGACCAAGGTAGATGGGTGGCAGCAGGTATGTAGGGGTGGGTTGGGGAAGCAAGCGGCGGGGCGCCTGATCCTATTTGTTGGCACTTCCCTGGTCCGTTCTCCTTAAAGACAGCTCCCGCGATAAAAGTGTCATGGATAGTTGCTGTTCAATTATGAAACAGTAGCTGATAAGTAATTCCGCATTTGGCACAAGGGCCATGCATTCTCTCGTCAAATGGATGACATATCCGTGCTGGAGTATCCCAACTGAGATTTTCGAAAGAAATCTCGACCGAAAAGGTGGGGCAGCTGAGAGTAAGTAGTGGCAGTTTTG